AGGGGATGCAGGAGAAGTGCAGGGAATTGGGTGTAATTTGGGGGTGGTACGTGGGTTTAAAAATCCTTCAGCCCTGAGGCAGCACGCCCGTTAGTGGAGCTCCCGCCTTTGGGTGTCGTGGGGACAGCAGGCTTTGAAAACAGACCAAAGAAAGCCAGTTTATAAATGTGTATTTGTATATAAATATAAAAACCTGCGGTTTGGAGGGGTGTTGTGTTCTCACCCTGGCTCTCCGCAGGGAGTCGGAGCCGGAGCTCCACGAGCAGCACTGGTTCTGGATCGGCCTGAACCGGCGGGACCCGGCGGGGGACAGGAGCTGGCGGTGGAGCGATGGGCTGGGGGTGAGTCCGGGGGATTCGGCGTTTGAGGTGCAGTGGGGGGGGACAAATCCGGCGCTGGTGGAAATGCGCAACACCGCCCGTCTCTTTCGACCCCCAGTTTTTCTACCACAACTTTGACCGCAGTAACTACGATGACGACGACATCCGGACCTGCGCGGTGCTGGACCTGGCCTCCCTGCAGTGGATGCCGATGCAGTGCGAAGCCCAGCTGGACTGGATCTGCAAACTGCCCAAAGGTACCCGGCGAAGAGGCCCCCCCAAACCCTGCAGCTTTGGACAACCTGGCAGAGGGTGGGCTGTGGGTGGTGGAGCTGGTGCAAGGGGACTCCCGGTCACCTCCCTTCTGAAGGTTGCGCTTTTATGGGAGGAGGAGTCCTCATTCAGGGGCTGGGAGAGATGGGGTCCATCCCTGGAGGGATTCGGGGGGGGGCATCTCACCGTTGGAGCCTGTGGGCGGTTTGCAGACAAGCATCAGCGGGAGCATCCCAGCCCCGCATCCCGCTGATGGCCTCTTCTTCCCCTTTCGCCAGGTGCCGACGTGAAGGAGCCGGAGATCACGACCCAAGGTGCGTTGGCAGCGGCCGTGCGTCTGTCCGCTGTGGACCGTCCTCCCTGGGCTCTACCACCCCGTCGCAGTCCCGCGGGGCATCCCTGCAGGAGGAGGATGGATCCTGTGTAGGGCTGTAGGACGGTGGGGAGCCCAGGCATCCCGCTGCCCCTTGCTCCACGGCATGGCTGCGGGGACCGGGCAGGATCAGGCCCCTCGGCTGGATGCTGACCCGCTCCCTGCAGGAGACCCGTGGGGGACCAAGGGACAGGGTGGTGG